CTTGATGAAGGAATATGTTTTGAAGCAGAGTAGGGCTCCTATTCTAAGTTCAGGGATAGGTAAATGTATTATGTATATATATATAAGGGTTTAGGGTTTAGGGTTTAGGGTTTAGGGTTTTATATATATATATATACCTGGGGAGGCAAACCTCTCGATAATAACAGGCGCACTCACTCTTCATCCTAAACGTGAGCGTTTGGCCAAACAACTACTTTTTGGGGGAGCTAGACTTCAGGGTTGGGGGGCTTCAGGGCTTCAGGGCTTCAGGGTTGCGGGGTTTCAGGGTTCAGGGCTTCAGGGTTTGAGGGTTGCAAAGTCGTCGCCCATCATCAATTCTCAAGATCAGACGTGCAAAAACCACCCATCAAGTAGCACTTCTAGGCCAATCTAGCCTAAGTGGGATCCTAGTTTGAGTCCTGTGCCCACAAAAGCTTGAATTCGAGAGGCCATTGCAAACCCGTAACCCGAAACAAGAAGAAATCGGCCACCAACTGTAGATTTCAATTGCAAAAGCCTCTGGCATGCTTCCATCAACTTCCATGCCATAAACCGAACAACTTGAAGCCCACTAAACCCTAAACCCTAAACCCTTTCGTTGTCGATGTTTTGCTGCGCCGGCGGCGATCGCACGAGGAGCGAACCTGGGCAGGGCTCAGGGTTTAGAGGGTTTATACTTAAGCTTTTTAGGTTTCTATGGGTGGGGAGTTTTTTTGGGGTTGGCGTTCCTTTGTAAGAGAAAGCTTTCCACAGCTCAGTTCGTCTGGAACAACTGAAACGAAGAACTACTTTGATAAAAATGGCTGCTGCAAAGTCGCTCAAGCCAACATGCTGAGATCCAGCATCTCGAAGCTATCTCTATCCAGGGCAGCTTTCATGAGGAAGATATATCTCTGCAACGTCTTGATAGCAACAGCACGGGTACTTACCCGGCGGCTGACACGAGCCGCCCTGCCAACGAAATCTTCACTCATGAAAGTGGCCTCCGCCAAAGGATTGACGGCGAAGCCCTCGGACAGCCACTCCTCGTAGATTCGTAAAAAGATATGGTTCAAATAATGGATTTTTGGGCGCAGCTTGAATAAGCACAGCGCTCGATCATAGCACTTGGAAACCAGGGCCGAGTAGTCCATAAGAAAGGCGTAACCGCTCTGCAGGACAGTTTCCGTATGCCCAGGGGACATGAAATACTCAGCACGCAGGCTTGTTGATATCACGTGTCCCATTGCTTTTGAAGCTGCCAGTATCAGCCGTAGGATCTCGTCGTTCTGGACCGTGGCACGATATTCGGGCAGCTCAAGCAAGTAAATGATAAACCTCACGATCACCGCAGTATCCAGATTTTTGGACCACTTCCCCTCTGGGTAGTCTCTCGTACTGTTGTATCCCAGGAGATCCTCAGTAAGCTTTCCGCAGTGAAGCTTGTCCTTTGATCTTGTCTGGTATTGCTTGAGCATGGTATTGAGGCAATCCAAATCTTTGGGCACACTTCCCAATGCAAAGAGGGCTTTCATTGCGTACACAAGACCACTCGAACTAAAATCCTGGCCCACACCAGCATGCCAAACATGAAAAAAATCCGCTTTGAAGAATGCTGCAGGCGTGTCGGCCGTATCATACAACATGTGCTGCATCAGTGCACCTCCGCCATCCTGCCACGGCAGCGGGTTCTGCAGTCTGCAAGTCTGAAGCCATGCAGGTCCTTTCAATCCAAGGTGTTCGAAAGGAATATGAATATTGCCGTCCGCCGATTCGTAGCCGGCGTGACAGAGCCAACAGCATCCTTTCTGCACGCCCTTTGAAGAAAATCGCTTACGAACATTATGAAACGAACGCGTAGTCTTTGCGACCTTCTTGACGAAGGGAGAATCCCCGGTGAAGCCCAGAATGGCAACGCGCCAGGTGCTCTCCTGGGCATGAAAACCATGCTCCAGGAGCGACTGCAACTCCTGACCCCAGATTTCCATGAGATCCTCGAAAACTTGGCCATCAGTCTTAGCCACCAAACTGCTGACAACAGAGAACAGAAACCGCGTGGCACCAGAATTACCTGTCAAGTTGATACCAAGCTCGATTGCTTCTTCAGCTGGTCGCTTCGAACTTAAGTCAATAGATCTCTTCCGCGACCCACTACCAAGGGCTGGGAACATAGTTAAGATCTCGATGGGATCCTTCTTGTAGCCTCGCCCGCCATCACCATGCAAGTAGTACGGGATTAGCTTCTCGTAATCCAGGTCGGGGGTCTGGAATATTTGGTGTTGAGGGTGCAGTACCCGGAACTTTGCCCAAAACAAAGCAAGTGACTCAGATGCTAAGTGAACAGGTACCCCCAATACTCGATGGAAGTAGCCCTCCGCACTCATAGCCTCCAGCTGGGCCTTGGGCTTTATGAAAGGGTACCTATTCACATTACCAGCCCGCTGCCAGCTGAAGTCAATAGGCAAGCCCAGTTCATATTTCTGCAGCAACTCGTAGAGGGGAGCATCAGCACTAGACAAGTCAATGTTGGCAATCTTGGCCAGCACCTCGCAAGGATCTTGCTTCACAGCTGCGCGGGCATCCTGGACCAGATCTTTGGCGGGGACCTTGGCCGAGCGAGTTTTAAAATCTCGACCCGATAACATAGAGGGAAGCTGCCTGCAATCATTCATGGATGCGCATGTGTCGTAGGCTGCGTGGACATGTGTGCATCATGACTGTCAGACACTCGGACCTTTTGTATGGCACAGCCAGCATGCGATGAGTTTGGTTGTGTGAAATCACACAGACACTAGCTCTAGCATCGACAGCGAGACAGCATGAACAAGCCAATCATCCTAGGATGGGCTTGCGCTGGGCAGCGCTTGTAGCTGCACAATAAGCATAATAAGGAGGCGGGAATCGAGGCGAAAAGTCTTTCCTTCGCATACTCTCCCCACCCAGCTGATGGTTTCGGCAGCAGCGCTGATTGTCATGAAACTCCGCAATGAGGGCGGCTTCAAGCATCTCCAACATGGCGAGCAATTCTAGTCGGCAAACCTTGTGTATCACCACGAAAGACATAAAATTCTGTTCGAGGTAGCTCTGTCGACGCTGAAGTGGATTCGAAGTTAGGCCGAGCTTGAACACGCACAAAGAACGGCCGCCATTCTCTTCTCGGATGCAGTTGACAGTTTTCATGCAGTGCCACAATATTTTCGATGCCAGTGCGGTTTCGGGGATGAGTCTCTGATCAAGGCCCACGCTACAATGGCCTGGCGAGCAGCACGGGGAGTCAGGCTCCCTCGTCCGTGTAGTGGCACAGGAGGTGGGAGAACATGCCATATCGACATCAGAATCTTGTTGGATTGCTTCATCCTCTGATTCACTCCATGGGAAGATATCCAGCTTATCACTCATGGGGCTCTCCAGGGCTACCCGATTAGCACCAGCTGGAAAACAGCTTAGCGGAATTTGAAGGACCATGTGTAGTTGGATGCACTGTCGCTTTCATGAGCATTTCAAGTGCACATGCAGCATCAGCGCAATCAGGTGCTTCACAGGCGCAGCACAAATGCGCTGGGGCCCCAGCACCTTTTCCATACTTCGTAGCGATGAGACGGACTTGCTGGCTGATGTTCGCGTTGTTGTGGCTGCCTGACAGGTTGTTGTCATTGTTCCAGGGTAATATAAAAACATGGGGCCGATCAGAAAGATACCAGGTATGAAGAGAACGTGCAGGGATTCTCACATGAGGGGATTGGCTGGGTTCTTGTATCCTAAGGCCTGGGTTCGGTTAGGTGTTCCTCATGCAGGTTTGTAGTATGATCAATTAAGATAAAACAACGAAGTTTCGAAGAACCACGTAAAAGGGGAAGATTACTTATCTGCAAAACTAGATTGCTCAATCTCGTGCCTAGGAAGCCCTTGAACTTAGGATCCTTTTAGGTACTGATTGCTGGATGCCGGGGTTTCCCATCCTAGTGCAGAAATATACCTTATAGGACTACTCAGAGCACGGCTTCTACGACTATGGGAAGCATCCACTCACCCCTACACCCCCCGAAGCAATGACATTTCTCAGATGCAAGCTGCATCGCTCAACTCGAGCCCCTGGAACATGTTGTTCGTTTCGATGAAACAAAACGCAGAGGCCTAAAGAAGGACACGACCATGCAGCCGTGTGCACCTAGAAGGCTTCAGCAGCCGAAGGTACGAAGGTGTGTGAGTACCCCGAATTTGGTATGGCCAGAGCAGCTCCATAATTGCGCTTAGCTTGATTGATGCACCCAGTCGGCTCCCGAAGTGTCTTCAGACTGGCTGCTGAAACCTGGAATGCAAGCCTCATTTGCATTCCTGCGTGTGTGTAACAGCTTGTGCTAAGCATCTCGCGGTGCGCTGGCTTCCACAGATGCAAACTAAGCCCTGATGCTCACAACACATCGATCCCTGCACAGGCGAGCACTGCTACAGATGGACAGCGTGTTGTGTCTAGTACACGTAGAATCCACGAAGCACAGAACCCTTACTTTCGAGGCTAGGTATCTCTCTTGCTCGCAGGAAGAGGAATCATATGTGCCCATGGCATCCCACAGCTTCTGTAGCTGTAGCGAAGCCCCAAAATCAAACCGGCACCGAGACGGGCGCTCACGATGCGCTCTCCTTCTTCGCCGCCTTGCGTGCCCTGGACAGCACGGACCTCAGAAAAACAGTCTGTATACCTCTTGTATATTGACCCTTGAGGAATCTAGCTACTCGTAGCTATATAGAAAGTATACGCAATCAGTCTTTATCGGGCCAAAGACCTCCGAATTGTTTTAACGAATGATCGATTTGAGGTCCCCATATTAGCTAAAAAGATGCCGTTTAACGGCAGCTAGGATTGCTCGAGTCTTGCATAGATTTTCAAATCCATACATCCTCCCCATTCTCCAAGAATGTCAAGCAAGCATATTACCTCTGAGCTCCATGATGGTAACGTCCTAGCTGGGATATAACCCTCAAGACTCGTAAAGCCTATGTAGAACATCGAAAGCCCAAACCCAAAGCCCCTAATCGTTAAAGATATACATGGAGAAGCCTCAAAACAACAGAAAGCTTACCGAGGCTTGCTATCAATGCTGGCTGGAGAAGATGAGGTTTTAAGGCCTCCGGGGTTGAGGTTTGGGTTTGCGAAGGGTTGGGGTATATAGGATTTGCAAGGTTTACGGTTCTGTCGGAGCCTGGAATCAGGTTGCATTAGTCTAGGGTTTTCTGGGGGGTTTGGAATGCCTACTGGTTGGTGGTGTTTTTTAACTGTAGGGTTGAAGGCCACGAACTCAGGTGTCCAGTTCCACTACATGGGCTTAGCATATGTGGGCAAGGCTAGTAGGTCGATCGGTATTAGTGATTGAGGGATCGAGATAGGGAGTTGTTAGAAGCAGTCCATAGGTCGATCGGAACGGCCAAGCACAAGCAGACAAGGAGAGGGAGAGAGAGGGAGAGAGAGAGTGAGATACATGATTATTCCGTTCGAAAAGAGACAGAGGCAAAGGCAAGAGGGGCAGAGAGGAACTAAAGCAGAAAGCCATGGAAGCTTATGTAGCTCGAACACTTAATGGGAGACATGCCATCGAAAGCCCCAGTCATCCTGTTTGTGAAGTGCACTGAACATGTGTCTATGCATGTTTAACTTTTAACAGATGGAATACCATCTATGACACAAACCCTATCAGAAGCTTTGCGCAGCACTTGTCCAAACACCAAGCCACATCGTATCCCTTTGGCCTGAAGATGTCCATGAATCTATTTCTATAAAATCGGTAAGACTCGAAAACATTAAGAATATGCAGTTTGCAATACTCATGCATACCTTTGAATCCAATAGACCTCCTGCGGGATGATACTAATCGATCCTGTCAAGCGATGCTGCACATCCCAACCCACGCGAACCCTACTAGCTGGATCTAGACCACGTAGCTAATTTCGCTCCAAACAGATCCCCTCACTACACCCGGATCCTTATATAAGTCTCCGAACTCATGGTCACAGCTACCACGCCAAGGGGCAGGACGGTGGGTCGGAAGACTATGACACATGCAGCTGTGTAGGAAAAAACTGAACTCTAGAATCTTTTCGAACCCCGTAAGCCCTATCATCCTTGACCCCTTCAACCCAATGCCGCCCACAGCACAAGTCTGAGTTCAGGCCGAATACGCAGCAGGTTAAGATTCGCCGGACCCTTGAAGCCATAAGTCCTATATAGTGTCCGAAAATCCCCATGCCCCGTGCACCCTTCGATATCCATTCGACTAGAAGCTTCTGGGCAGCCTCCGCGGCTGCAGATCTGGCCATCCTGAGGATTTGTGTTTTGGAAGATCATGCGACTCTTACAGGCATCCATCGATCGTACATATTCGCAACACCCATCTTTCTTCCGACGCAATGGATGTATAGTACAGTGCTGTATGCATGCGTCCGATACATTGCATGTATGAAATTGTGCCAAGATTCAGCTTCTGAGCCCTGACGAAGTAGGTCTTGCACTCGCTCTGAAGCCTTAGCCCGTTCCAAGCTTGCCTGTTCACGTGGGCTTATGATCGGTTGGTTTTACTCTATAGGGCAATACATACACATGGTCAGATTTCATCAAGCCAGGGCAGAATAATGGATTTGTTAGTGTTATATAATTTTCATGCATCGATGGAGGTTACAACAGCTAGAGACCCCAAACATCTGCAGCCCGATAACTTCTCCCCGTAGCCGGAAGTTCCGCCCTCAGCCTTCGCCTCCGACATTTCCTCGTAGAGGGTGTCGAACTCTTTAACCAGGGCATCCATCTTCTTGGTACTCCTGATGCTGGCATTTGGTGGTGCGTCGCAGTGGACATATCAGCCGGGCTCTCGAGATACGTTCATATGCAGTCACACGACTATATAGTTCTACCGAGCCACTGGTTTGCCTTTGCGTCGGCACCTCCTGACGCCTTGATCTTGTCCTGGAGCCCCTCTAGGGAGTTCTTGCCCTTGAGCACGTTTTTCATGTACTCTTTGATTTGCGATGCAACCTGAAATGCAGCCGATCCATGTATTGAATAACCATTGACTAGAGAGTCTAGTGAGCTTGTCTGATATAGTAGCAGCTAGGCATCCTCTGAAATCATGACCCGGGGAGCACTCTTATGGTGATCGCCCTCCAAGTCCTTCGTGCCGGCGTGCACCATATCGTCATCATCAGAGAACTCAAAGCCATCCATGTTCAACCTCGGCTTGAAGTTGATGTCGGTCCCGCCCTCGCCCTCAAAGTGCTGCTGGCGCTCCATCATCTCGAGGTCTTCCTTTGTCATGGTTCCGCTGGTGCGCGTGTTCACCCAGTACTCCAGCGTCTCGTCATCGTACTCACAGGTTCTCGGCTGACACAGATCTGGAGTTGTGATTCAGGATTGTCGGGTTGCATGAGTTGAACGGGAGGATGCGAATTCGAGGTTTAATGTGCCGTGCCTAATGCACACTCTGGCCTAGAGCACCCGGAAGCCCTATCTACAGAAGAGGCCTTGGCCCTACATATGTACCCCTGCCCCCTAACCTCTGAATAGGCTTATCTTATGCATGATGAAAACATCGACGGCTTATGCCGTAGAGCTCCAGCCTAAGACCTTTGAGGGTCCACTAATCATGCCTGGAACACGTAATATGTATATAGACTATAGACTCCGGCCCGTAGGATTCCACGCCCCTGCAGAGTTGCATCGTCATGCTGACACTGACATCAAGATTGTCCCAAACAACAGTGATCGTTCCAAGTGCTTCAGTGTTTCGAGCTTGTGGAGGTTATATGGGTCGCAAAATACATAGGATGTAGAGTTCAGCCTATTATTTTCACGCGGGTCTTAGAGGGTGTGTATTCTTATTTGGGTGGCTACAATCTAATCACACGAAGTCGCCGAACCAGTCCTTTCTTCTCGGCCCAGGCGACGATTTTCTCGATCCGGGACCTGGGCTTCGGCTTCCGTGGGCTTTGGTTATGCGAGGTCAGCTGGGGCAGTCAATTAGATCGATGTCGACATATGGAACTTGCTTTCAAGTGGCGCCGAGTACCCCAGCTCGGTTTTCATATCTTCTTTACTGTAGAAGCCGCCTTTCACTTCGAGTTTCTTGCTTCTGGTGGAGCGAGAGATGATCGTGAGGGATTCCATAAAGACAGCCTGGGGATAATCGCGATAGAGCTAGATAGTGAGTCGAGACTATTATATATCGGACAAATCGAAAGTTTGGGCCCATTCCTGCCTTGACACCTCCGGATTTGGCCCACATGCGCAGCAAGTTGTCCCGCCCCTTTGCGCAATCCCGCCACATATCGAAGATGTTTTCTGGCACCTCCAAGTTCCCTGAACCCCGTTTCGGGGTACAGATCCTTCTGACCTTCTCTTTCTCAAGCTTGCTAAGGGTGCCAAAGTTCAGCACTTTGGGGGGCTCATCATCCTCATCATGCTCGGCACCATCAGTCTCAGAAGGTTCCTTTGAGGGTTTCTTGGGCTTCTCTGGAGTCACAGGGTGAGGGCGCTTGGCTCCCCGGGATCCGGGGCTCTTTAGAACCTCTGCATGACACGACGGCACCACAGCAGCAGGATCAGCCGGCTTCTGCGGCGCGACCTGCTGGGCTTCCTTCTGCGGCGCGGGCTGCTGGGCTTCCTTCTGCGGTGCGGGCTGCTGGGCTTCCTTCTGCGGCGCGGGCTGCTGGGTTTCCTTCTGCGGCACGGGCTGCTGGGCTTCCTGCGGCTTTGTTGACGAACCACTTACACTAGCTTTATAGATTATAGGTGCTGCTTACAAAATGCACAAGACCGATGGACGTAGAGCAAGCATCATTATGGCTGGATCGTAGTGTCACGTACACACCTAGAGTGGTTGCATACCTCCTAGCTGAACATAGTCCCACGCTCCTCCTTCTTCTGATCGCGGAGCTTGAGTAGCTCTTCCTGCTGGGCATGCACGGTTGCGTTCAGCAGCTCCATCTTCTGCAGCAGCTCCTGCATTTCAATAATGGAACAGCTAGGAAGTGTTTCGGCCACTACTATGATTGGTCTTTGATTTGGGGGATCTCTCCTGCCGAAGCATTGTGCTCGGATCGGGCGACGAAGACATAGAAGGGGTTGCGCTTGGGCTTCTCGGAGTCGGGGCCACGGGTGCTGCTTCCACTTCCTTCTTGACCTTATTAGATTGACCGAGCGATAAGCACCTTGAAATTTAAGATCGATTGAGGCAGCTAGCTCTATAGGGTTCCTATATGGGTGTCCGGGTTACCTAAGTATGTGTCATAGATCGAACACATTAGGCATAGAATGGTCGAACCATCTTGAAAAGGATCGATCAGCTATATGCCTGCGGACATTCAGTATACATACTATATAAACCCTAAACCCTAAACCCTAAACCCTATGTTATATAGAAGCTCAAGTGCATTCATGGTTTAGCCAGCCGATTGCATGACTGTACGTTGTATATAGTGGAGAAGGCAAAAGTGAGGGCATTAAGGTTTCCATCCACGAATATATACACCCAGCCACAGGCTTCAGCTGCCGCTGCACCGATGTCAGTTGCGAGTCGGTCCCCGGCTCGGTCTTGACTTCGGACTCAGCAACCTGGAGGGCCTGCTGCAATTCCTGCCAAAGTAGACATGCAGAAACCCTTAGTCATTGTAGGGTTAAAGCAGGTGTGGCTTACATATATAAGGTTTGGCTTCGATATATACGAGTTTCTATAAGGTTTACGTAGGGTTATATAGTGGGTATTGGGTCCAGCAACCAGAGGGATCGATTAAAGTACGGTTTCCTCAGCGACGCCGCGCAGATCGTCCAAATTGCCCGAGGACGCGGCACGCAGAAGGAACGAAAGGCCGGAGCGCAGGGACTCCGCGCTGTGCACATTCCTCCGCAAAGCCATGGCAACCAAAGTGAAACCTGCGCGGCGCAGCGTGTTCAGCACAACAAACGCGCAAAAATGAGGCCAAAATCCGAAACAGGTGTTGCGTGCCAAAGCGTGGGTGTTGCGTGCCAAAGCGTGGGTGTTGCGTGCCAAAAAGTGGGTGTTTGGATTTCCCAAATTTACGCGTATCTTGCATAACAGCGTGAAATGCCTCACAGCGCGCAAAATCTGAGCCGGAAGTTGCCTATGTAGGAGCGCGCTGGTCTGCTGTCAGGCCTGAAGCCCCGCGACCCTGAAGCAGAAGTCCTTATAGATTGCCTTAAACCCAGAGCCCTCCCAACCTGAAGCCCGCAGCCCTGGCCCGCGTGGCCGACAGCCCCTCTATAAACCTAAAAGGCACCACTAAACCTGAAGCCCGCAGCCCCGCGAA